AGGACGCCGGGGGTGCAGGGCCCTGAGTCCCCCCATACTCCGTGACAGTCTGGTCTTGGAGTCAATGAATGTTGTGTTAGCAGAACTCCCTAGGAGAAGGATCAAGGTGCACTGGTGCAGCTCTGGGAGGAAGCCAGCCCCAGCACTTCTAGGTGTCTCATTCTTACTAGCACTAAACCGTCCATCTTTCTTGCTCAGACAAAAGCAAGTCCCTCCAGCCCAGAGGGGTGAGAGCCCAGGCAGCCCCTCTAGGATAAATCCAGGAGGTGAGTGACGTGGCTACAAGCCCGTGAACTTCACCTCACAGGGAAGGACTGTTTCTCCCACGTGCCAGCTGGGCCGTTGCCAGCTCAGCCAGTACCCTGGGACCCCAGAGATGGGGAAGGCTGGCTAGATGGAGTCCAGCCACAGCTTGCTCATTGCCGCCCTCTCTCCCCCTCTCCAGGGACCAACCGGTGCCCCCGCGGCTCCATATGCCAGCCATTCAAGTATGTCTTCCCCCGGCCGGCGGACCTGTGCGAGAAGATCTGGTCCAACTCGTACAAATACACCACGGAGCACCGGGGTGGCGGGCGCTGCATCCAGATGTGGTTTGACCCTGCCAATGGAAATCCCAACGTGGCCGTGGCCAAGTACTACGCCCAGAACGGGAGAGATGCCTCTCCTGCGCCGCGGGCTGTCCTGCTGCTGCTGCCGGCTGCGCTCCTGTCCCTGCTCTGAGCATCTGGAAGCTGCTAGTCCTCGGGTCTTGTAATAGCAGGGCTTGGTGGCCGGCTGAAAGCACCCTAGGTATGGCCTCTGATTCCGGCAGCTCCACTGGCTTATACAGGAAATATTTCTTCTCTAGGCACGGGGTGTGTTCACCCTGCAGCCCTGCCTTGGGCTCTGGCCAGCAGATGATTCAGGAATCCATCCGGCTGCTTCTAACCCGGACAAGACTCAATAGAACCAGATTATCCCCATCCTCTCCTGCCCTTGAACGTCCCTCACTCCATGGTTTTATTGTCTCAGTGTTCTCCTGCCACGCTCCTCTCTTCCAGCGGGCTCTGGGGGGAGATCCCTCCATGCACTGTGTCCCTGGGGATCTGAGCTCTGTAACATGCAGTGACTCACTGGCTGGGTGCACTTCCTCTGTTGGGTACCAGAGCCGGGCAGGTCCTCTCTAACGATGGTGCCCGCAGTCATCTGGGTGCCTGTGCCCCTCAGCCCTCCATCGACAGGATTGGCCACTGTCTTTGCATTTGAATGTGCAGAGGGGGAGAAACCCCAAAGGGAAGACAGCAAATATTTGGGGCTGGGCGGCGGAGAGGAGGGTGCAGGGGAAAGGCATTGGGGCGCCTTGGGGGATGAGAATTGCAAGGAGAACAAGGCTTTTGGACCCTCTCATCCAGCCTTGCTCTGTCTCCTTCCCTGCCACCCTGCGCCCCCTGGAAATACAGGTGTCTCCTCCCCTGGCTCGCAGCCTGCCCTGGTGTCTCCGCTTCAGCCCATGAGACCATCCTCTCTGTGGCTTTGGGTGGGGGGGGGGGTGACTTGAGCACAGAGGCATCACCACCCCTATCCTTGCCTACCTTGCTGCTGGTTCTGCTGTGTGATTGGGTCTCTCCCTCCTCCTGTGCCGCTGCTCCAATTCCTCTTCTGTCCGAGCTTCCCCATCCTGCGCCAAGCTCCCGGAGGGGCTCGGTTCCCGGCCCTGCTCTGGCAGAAGACTAACTGGACGTGCTGCCCAGCGTGGCCGCAGGCAGTGCCTGGCCAGAGCCAGCGTCAGAGTCTCTGCGCCCCGTGGTGACTGACTGGGCTCTGACCCGCTCTGGGCCACTGCATGGTAGCTGCGTTGCTATGGCAGCGCTGGCTGCAGACACCAAGAGTTCCTACAGCCCGTAGAACCGGAGCAATGCTTGGGAACACAGTCCTGCCCCCCTGCTGGCCACCACGGGCCAGCCAGACTCCCCGGGGACCACCATGGGGTGTTGCTGGAAATCTGAGCCCCTCTAGCTTGTGTCTGTGACTCTGGAGAAATAAACTCTCCCAGCCCTGCTCTCTGTGCTCGTCTCTTCCTTGATACACAGACACTTGCTGCTGCTTGCTTCCCAGTGATGCAGACACAGCTGGGCCCAGCCAGAGGTACCAGCTGGCTTGGAGTTAGACCCCTCTGTCTAAACTGAGCGAGAGTGGGCTGCTGGGCCAGTGTGGAGTTGGTTCAAACACTGCCCATAACTACTGTTAGCAGGGACCACATGCATGACTAACAGTCCAGGGGTCCTCTGGAAACCAGCCTCTCTGTGCTTTGGCTTTAGATGAGTGTCTGGTTAATGCCGACTTCTGCAGGATTCTCTCCCGTTTAGGGGCCCTGCTCCCCTATGCACCCACAACTGTCCTGGAACATGCCTGCACAATGCTAAACCCATGAACTAGGTGGGGTTTTTTTTTAAGCCAAGGGCAAGTAACACGCCCCCCGCCCCCGAGCCAATGTAAACACAAACCGAGCTGGGTAAAGGAAGCCCCTGCCTTCTCCGGTGACACGTTCTAATTCAGTGGTCCCCAATCTTTTTTTGTCTGGCGGGCGCCAGACGATGAGCCACAGAGGACCGTGGCGGCGGACAAGCATCCGCCGAAATGCCGCCAACAAGCGGCAACGTCAACAGGCATCACTGCCGAAATGCTGCCGACAAGCAGCGTCATCCAGAGGCGTCGCTGCCGAAAATCGGCAGCATTTCGGCGGCAACACATCTGGATGACGCTGTTTCTCGGCGGCATTTCGGCGGATGCTCATCCGCCGGCCAGTACGCAGGCGTACTTAGACATCCCGGCGCCCGCAGGCACCGCGTTGGGGACCCCTGTTCTAATCCAATGGAATAAAGTAGGTCATAGATTCAAATCCATAAGGGTAGCATGTGATCATCCAGGCTCACCTCCTGTACAGCCCAGGCCAGAGACCTGCCCCCCAGTAATCCCCAGAGAAGATATTTTAGAAGAACAGCCAGTCTGGATTTTAAAATTGCCAGTGACGGAGAATCCACCACACCCCTTGGGAAATGAATCCAATGGTTAAATACTCTCCCCGTTTAAAACCGTGTAGCTTCTCTCCAGTCGGGCCTTGTCTGCTGGGGTAGGCACTGCCCCCCACAGCTATGGCACAGTAGCTCCTGGGTGCATACTCCATTCCAGAATCACTACTCCGCTCCCCAAGTGGAGTCATTATTCTGGAGTGAAGTCGCTGTATGTCAGTGTAGTGCCTACCAAGGGAGTTGTTTGGGAATAGCTGTGTGAGTCAGCTTTCCCCCCTTACTCAGGAGCTGTGCCTCATGCAGTTCTGAGCTTGAGCTAAACAGTCTTGGGCTGGGCTGTGCCGGGCATGACCCAGGTTAGCAGCGGAGGCTCACTGATGAAGCCGGCTCCGCGGAGTGGACGGATCTTTGCTCCCCGCTACACAGGGCACCCCTGACCCATACCCTCCTCCTGGTGCCCGGGCATCCGCTCACCCTCCCGCAGCCGGGTGGAGAATTAGCTGAGCGAGCAAAGCTGTGGTAGCCTCGGAACGAAACGAGCCAGAGCCGGATCCAGGGACACCCATCACCTGCCCATCCCCACCTGGCCCCGCTCGCTGGGGAAGCCAGTCAGCTCCGGTAGCTGGAGCCAAGTCCCCATGAAAGTTGCACGGGGCAGGGAGAGGGGAGGTTGATTTGAACAATATGCCAAGGCCCCTGGGGTGAGTGAGGGCAGCCAGGCTGGGGGCAGGATGCCAGGCCCAGAGGGGTGGGGTGAGGGCAGTGTAACATACAGGGAGAGCCTGGCATGTGGCTTGTGCTGAGCAGAGGGGTCAGGGGGCAGGAGCCAACCTTGGCCTCGCTAGTGGATCGATAGAGGCCCACTGTAACCCGCTCGTCTGACCCCCTGTCTAATGCCGGCCAGGGCGCATCCCGGAGTAATTCCTGTCTGAGCGACAGCCGAGCTTGTAGGAAACCAGCCCCTCGGGATTTAAAACAGCACCAGGGATGGAGAATCCACCATGCTCCATGGAAAGTGATTCCACTGGTTAATTATTCTCACCGCTCAACACTGACATCTTAATTCCAGTCAAATTTTGTCCAGCAGCGGGGACACCCAGGAGTCTCCTTTAAGCCTGACTACAGGCAGGGCTAAGACCCAAACCGGTGGGGGCAGGAGAGGATGCCCGGGCTACACACCTGCATTCCCGTGTCTGTTTTCTCAGAGATCTGTAACTGTCTTGTGCTTTCTCAGGCCTTGTCTACCCCGGGAACTAGTGGGCAGGGCTGCTCCTGAACAGCTGTGGGGACAAGGCCTGAGAGCAAAGGCCCTTTGCAGAGCCCACGGGCTGCTTGTTGTAACTGGCACAGGGGCAGAGCAGGAAGAAGGGGCACTAAGGACAGAGCAGGGCCTAGGGAATGGGACCCCATAGGCCAGCTGCCCAAGAAGAGGCATTAGACAGGGAGCCTGCAGCCCGGGCCCATGCCTGAGCCACCAGAACTCAGAGCAACACCGGGAGCCAGGGGGCTTGGAAGCACCTGGGCCTGCAGGGTTGGGTCCAGTATCAGAGTCTGGTGACTGGCCACAGGTGGCCCCACCCAGCGCTTGGACAGCTGCAGACAGTAGCATTGCTGGGCCTGGCGCCCGTGCCCCATCCCACATGCCAGTTCCCAGGAGTCTCCCCAGGGCTTTGTGCTCCTCCCTGCCAGCAGCTCCCCGTCTCCCCCCAGTCTCGGTTATGTCTCTTCCCTCCCCAGTGCCCTCAGCCAGCACTAACCCAGCATCACTCATTCCAGCCGTGGGAAACCAGGTTCCTAGTAGCCAGCCCCTGGTCATCATTGCTAGTTCAGCTGAGAGCACGGCTTACTGCTGCCAGGTCCTCTCTACTGCCCCACAGCAGTAACTACACCACTCCCACCCCACCCCTTAGCACTGGAGTCAGGCCAACCGTAACCCCCAGCATAGACAGCACAAGGTCAACATAGCCACTGCCCCCGGGGGAGGGGGGATGAGTGAAGCCAAGGGGAGAAGCTCTCCCAGCTGTGGGGTAGCAGCATCCTTAAAGACCCACAGCTGTACTGGGGGGGGGGGGGGGAAAAAAAAAAAAAACTGTGCTGCTGCAGGTGAAGACAAGCCCTGAGAGCATCCTTCAGGACCAGGGAAAGCTGGAGGTCAGTAGTTCATACCAGTCATGTGGCTAGCATAGGACTAGGCCCTGCCTCTTCCCACAGAGGGTCCCCATGCGAGCTACACAGCCCGGGTGCAGGGTAGGACAGAACATCTGCCAACATGAAGTTTTGTCAAGATCTGCCTGGACACAGCTTCTGTTAGAAAGGGTTGGTGTGACAGTCTCTGATCAGAGCCACCCTGCTGCCCCCCTCCTGCCACAGCTCCTTGGTAAAGAACCAGCCCTTTTGACCTTTCCGTTCAAAGAACAGCAGAACAAGCTGTGCCCCCACTAGACAAGGGCTGAGCTGGTCTATTGCACATCCTTAGTCACCCCCCCGGACTCTGAATACAGCTCAGCTGGCAGTCAGGGATGAGACCTGTCCCTCCCCAGTGCCCAGTTGATGGGTGTAGCATTGTACCTGCCTGATGTGGCAGGAGAGCGGTGGGTGGGGATGTGAGCGAGGGGAGCCAGGTGGAGCGAGTTCCCAGCACCAGGCAGGAGAGGATGCTGCCGCTGTCTGCATCGCCCAGACCCTGCTCTGTAGGCGAAGCATTCAGAGCCCCATGTGGGGGGCTAGCAGAGGCTGGAGCCAGGCCCCCATGCAGTGATCATGCTCTACCCCACAGCCACTGGACAAAGGTACCCACCTGCCAGGCAACCCGAGAGCCCTGAGGAGCCTCTGGCTGGGCCCACTTCTAGCTTTGCAGCCCTGGGGACTGAGCCGAAGGACGTTTCTATCAAGGAGGAGACAGGCACAGAGCAGGGCTGGGACAGTTTATTTTGCCAGATTCTCTCACAAACTGGGAGGTCTCAGCTCCAGACGGTTCCCACCTGCAGCTCAGGGTTACAAGGGTGGGGAGGGCAGGACAGCGAGCCCAGGCATTGCTCTGGTGCTAGGGGCTGGCCCTGCTCATTTGGTCGGCAGCCAGCGTTGGGAGCAGGGCGTGTAGCCACAGATAGTCCTGGAGTGGGTTAGAGGCCAGGCAGTCACCACCGGGCAGAGCAGGAGTCTGGAGCCAGACAAGAGCTAGAGCTGGGAGCATCCTGCCAAGCCAGGCAGCGCTTCCCATTCACCCTGTGCTGAGAGCCAAGCTGGGAAACCAGACCCTGCCCAGAGCCAGGCAGGCCAGAGGGGGTGGGGGGCTCTGACAGCAAGTGCATCTGTTCCAGACAGCAGAACCCTGCAGCTAGGAGCATAAGGGGGGGTGTGTGTGGCTGCACAATTGGGTCACCCTTAAAGGGCAGGGTGTAGTTTTGGGGGGCTGGAGCCCCCTGTGAGTGTCCAATCTGCTGAAGCAGAGACACCAGGGCAGGCTGTGAGCCAGGGGAGGGGACACCTGTATTTCCAGGGAGCACAGGATGGCAGGGATCAGACAAGGGAGCGAGGTAGCTGACAGAATAAATACACCCAGCCAGTGAGTCACTGCATGTTACAGAGCTCAGATGCCCAGGAACATGGAGGGATCTCCCCCCAGAGCCTGCTGGGATTGAGGAGTGTGGCAGGAGAACACAGAGGGACAGTCACGGGGGGCAGGGGGGACGACTAGTCTGGTTCTATCGTGTTGTGTCAGGGTTAGCAGTAGCCAGACAGAATCTGGAATCTGCTGGCCAGAGCCCAAAACAGGGCTGCAGGGCAAACACACCCTGTGCCCCAAGCAGAAATATTTCCTGTATAAACCACTGGGGCTGCCAGAGGCTTCTGGATGCTCAGAGCAGGGACAGGAGAGCAGCTGGCAGCAGCAGCAGGACAGCCCGCGGTGCAGGAGAGGCGTCTCCCCCGTTCTGGGCGTAGTACTTGGCCACGGCCACGTTGGGGTTCCCGTTGGCAGGGTCGAACCACATCTGGATGCAGCGCCCGCCGCCCTGGTGCTCCGTGGTGTATTTGTACGAGTTGGACCAGATCTTCTCACACAGGTCCGCCGGCCGGGGAAAGACATACTTGAATGGCTGGCATATGGAGCCGCGGGGGCACCGGTTGGTCCCTGGGGAGGGAGAGAGAGAGAGAGAGAGGGCGGCAGTGAGCAAGCTGTGGCTGGACTCCATCTAGCCAGCCTTCCCCATCTCTCACTGCTAGACATCCGCCAGTCCCAGGCTACTGGCTGAGCTGGCAACGGCCCAGCTGGCTTGTGGGAGAAACTCCTTCCCTGTGAGGTGAAGTTCACGGGCTTGTAGCCATGTCACTCACCTCCTGGATTTATCCCTGGCTGGCACCCTGATGGGCTGGAGAGACAGATGGAGGCTAGTAATAATGAGGAACCTGCTACCCAGGGGAGCCCAGCTGGGTTCCCGCCCCATCTCTGCCAATGCACCTTGATCCTTCTAGGCCCTCCATCACCCCAGGGTCTATAGCATAATTTATCCTCATGAACTTCTGAGGTAGGGCAGTGCTCTTCTCCCCAGTACACACATGGGAAACTGAGGCACAGAGACTAAATTAAGGTCACGCAGTGAATCTATGGAAGATCAGTGCTAGCCAATACAGGAGCCCAACACTTTGCAGAGCTGCCTTCAGCCTTGGCACTAGCTAATTGAGAGCTTGTCAAAGGCAAAAATCTATCCAAGCTAGGTCCCAGTACAGGTAGCTTCATGAGCCACTGGGATAGAACCCAGTGTGCAAGAGACTAACAGAACAGAGACACCAAGCCAAGGAAGAGTTACAAACTGGTGGGTTGGGGCTTAGCCATGTGTGGAGAGTTTAGTAACTTGTAAAGCCACGCTGGACATGTAGTTAGTTTAAAATCAGTGGCTCTCAACCTTTTGACAGGGGTACAGTCATCTGGAGAGTCTGATTTGCTTCATGTACCTCCAAGCATCATTTCACTTAAAAAAGTGCTTGCTTACCAAATCAGACAAATACACAAGTGTCACAGCACACTTAAAAATTGACTCATTTTTACCAGACAATTATAAAAATCAATTGGAATATAAATCTATACTATACACTGAAAGGCAAGTACAATAGACCAGTATAAACAAGTCATGGTCTGAAGTTTTAGTTTATACCAACTTCACCAGTGCTTTTTATGTAGCCTGTTGTAAAACTAAATGAGTTGATGTACCCCCAAGATGACCTCTGCATGCCCCCAGGGGTACATGTGCCCCGGTTTGAGAACCACTGGTTTAACCCCACGATTCCTCCACACACCTTCTGCTAAGGTGGACATGTTGCATAAAACAAGAAAAGTGACATTCCTACCCACTCCTGCAAAGCCAGATGGTATTTCACCAGGGTCTTTAGAAGGAACCACTAGGGTGATCCAGTCTGACCCCCTGCCAAGGTGCAGGATTGGTTTTGACCAGACATTTGGCTTGGTTTGCTCATTTGGCCTCCTGCACATTTGAGAGCCGCAAATCATTGTCAGACAGTGGCCACCCTCTCCAGTCAATAGCAGGGAACTGAAGCAGATCGAGTCACAGGCTCCAAGCACTGGGCCATCCTTCCTCTGGGCATCATCTGACACCACCACTCCAGCCTCTAGGCTCCGAACCCCATTCACTCTTCCGAGCCCCATTCACAGCATGGATCTCGGAGTCCAAGTCTCCTGCCAGCTCCTTCTGCACATCACTGGGGAGCCCCATTTTACCCTCCCCAGCTCTGTCCCTGAGACTCCACTGCTGTGGCCACCTCCAGGACCAGGACCCCCTTTGGAGGCAGGGGATACTGGTGAGCAGAGACTGGCATTGCCACAACTCTGTAGAGGGGCACCACACACCCAGTCGCCTTGGGGAGGAAGACCCCAGAACCGCACAGCCACCTGCTGAGCAGTTCTGCTCACCCAGGAGGCAGATTTCCTGGCCTCTGCTCCAGCATGGGCACCATTGCCACAGCTGAAGATGGCCCAGGTTCACTGGACACTATGTTCAGTCCAGGGGACGACCCACTCCCCCAGTCTGACCCAAACCAGGGACAGGGCAGAGAATAGAGGAGACTACAGGCTTCAGCCCCTCACTTCCAGGGTGCTCCTCTCACGAGCCCCACACCCAGGGTCCATAGCTAGTCAGAGGGCTGCTGCCATCAAGGGGCAGGGAGAGATGGGAGCCCCTCCTCCATCTCCTGGGCCTCCAAACCAGCCCTGAACCTGTACAGCAAGGTCTGATCCCTCCCCATCCCGCCCCCCCCACCCCCCGCCCCCAGGCTGCAGCAGCCTGGCTCCACCCTGCAGCCCAGAGTGGGGTGGGTTTGCTCTCAGCAGCTCACTGACCTGTGGTCCAGTTCCAGCCCTTGTGCCAGTTCTCTCTGCAGGTGACTGCGTCCTTGCAGGCCTCCCACCACAGGTCACAGTCCTCCTTGCACAGCGGCACGTTGAGGATCCTCTCCCGGCGCCAGCTATTATCCACCTGCCAGGACACAGGGCTGTGAGCATCAGGGGGCAGCTCTGGGCTCCCCCTAGGGACAACATCAGCCTCCCCAGGGAGTAGGGTCAGAGACATGCTCTCCCCCACCCCCAATCTAGCTCCACTGAATGGAGCCAGTGCGGGTCTCAGCAGAACCAGGCCCAGTCCCCAGGGGAAGGGAGTTCCTGAGCAGCAGTATCCCCAGCCCAACAGGTGTCCCACGCAGCCCACCCAGGCGATGGGCAGGCCAGCTCCGTGTCCGGGGAACAGATCCTGGATTTATTGCAGAGCCCTGCTCAGGAGCAGCGTCCGCGATCTTAGCTGTTGCCTTCCCAGCAACCACGCTGCATGAACCCACCACACCCCAGGACAGAGGCAGCGTCAGTCCCACCGAGAGACCAGCCAAGCTGGGGGCATTCCCCAGAGCTCAGCATTGGGGCCAGGCTCTCTGGAGTCCTAGACAGCAGGGGGGGATGGCAGGGCCCCAGGGGCACTGCCTGGGGAGGGAAGGAAAAGGAGCCGTTCAGTGCAGCCTCCCAACCTCAGGACACTTTGCAGGGATCGTCCTGCCCACATGCAATGGGCCCTGGCTGGATACGGGGACACCAGCTGCCAGTGGAGAATTGAACCTGGGGCCTTTGGCACAGAAAGCACAAGCCTGGACGGCTCAAGCTGAAGGAGCAACTCCGTGTGGTGCTTGAGAGAGTGAACTGCTAGGACCTGCCACTAGAGGGAGCCGTGAGTACATGCACTAAGCCAGCCTTCTCTCCCACCACCAGTGCCCAGCCCCAACGCCCCCTGACCTGGTCGATCCAGGGCCCCAGGTTGGGCGAGCACTCGTACAGACACGTGTCCTGGATGAAGTGCTGCTTGCACTTCTCTGGCATCACCCCGCAGTGGTTCCAGTTGAAGTTGTACAGGTAGGACTGGTCCTGGTGAGCCCCTGTGCTGGTCTCGGCCGTGCAGCAGGCATGGTCTTTCCAAGGGGCACACTGCGAACACAGCGAGAGACGGGTACGCAGGGGACTGGCAGCTCGCCCTGGGGGGCAGACAGGATGCGGTGGATGCAACCACATCACCAGCCTCCAGTGGTGCCTAGTGGGACTGCTCTGGTATCAGAGCACTGGTAGGGCCATGGCTAAGGACCAAGGATTGAAGGGCAGAGATGCTTTTTTGCAGAGTGCTTGAGATCTGTAAGACTACAAAATGCTGTGAAGTGGGGAAGCTACAGACTGGGGGCAGGAGGGGCAGCCACTGAGCTGATAAATGATGTTTGATTAGGGCCTCCAGATCTATCCCCCTCCCCCAATTGTGATCTCCTCTGTGGGATGCTGGGTAAGTGGGGATGGGGGGGGGGGGAAGGTGCAAAGAGGAGACAGACTGAATTCATCCAAATGAAAAAGCCTCCGAGTGACAAGGCACCACTTCAACATGAGCCTTGAGTTAAGAAACATGGGACTAGAAATCTGAACTGAATTAGTTCATTAAGAACACATGTAACTGGTGAGCAAAGTGAGGGGATGGGCTACACTGGCCCAGCACTCCTTTTGGGGGGAGGGGGGGAGGTGTCAAAAAGCCCAGCACCCCTTTTGGTCTAGAGAAAAAAGGCAGACCATGCAAGGACTTTGGGAGGAAGATCAGACCGACTGCTGGCTGGGAGAGGGGGGGAAAAAGGAAAGGACGGACATGGCTGCCTCCCCCACCATCTCCTGCAATCCACTGGGACACCTTCCTCATCCTGATCCCAGGAGATGCTCTTACCAGCCTGGGCTAGACAGCGAAACCCACCTGACATCGCCACCTTCACTGGCTCCAGCTCACTCCTGGCCACCGAAGGGGATGAGAGACTTTGGTTCCTGCCGTCACCTGCTCCACTCCCCACCACATCATTTTCTTCCCTCACCTTCAGTCTGCTTTCCTACCCTACTCCCCTCCCATGTGCCTTCTGTTTAATAAGAGTCTAGCTTTTCCCACCAAGCCTGTATCCTGCAGCACTGCTGGGAGCCTGTGACCAGAAAGGCAGCACCTGGTTCAGATGCAGATTTGCCAGGGTTTGGAGCAGCTGATCAGACCATGTGCTGGGGCTGTTTCTCCAGCAGTGAGGTTGCAGAGAGGATAGGCAGCACCAGACACAGAAGCTGCATAGCCGATCTTCTCTGGTCTTTTTTCTGCCCCTGTTTGTGTTGGTCTGGTTTTGTCTTCTAGGAAGTGGGCTCAGACTTAACAGTGCCAGATTATTTCTAATAATGCCTCTTTCCCCACAAGACTGTTACCACCATCTCCTAGCTGCCAGACAGCTGCATGTGTGGGGGTGGGCGGGGGGTGTAGGGGTCTCTGCACACTGCTACACACAGGCACCACCCTGCAGCTCCCATTAGCCGCAGTTCCCAGCCAATGGGAGCTGTGGAGTCGGCGCTCAGGGCAGGGGCAGCATGTGGAGACCCCCTCCCAGGGGCCGCAGGGACGGAATGGCCGCTTCCAGGAGCGGCATGGAACGAGGCTGGGCAGGAAGCCTGCCTTCACTCCACTGCGCTGCCGGGGGTCCCTGGGTCCTTTTAAGTCACCCAGGCCCCTGGACAATCTTCCCCATTCGCCCCCCCACTGTTGGCAGGCCTGCCTGCTTTTGACAAACTCTACAGCGAAAAGGGAATGGGAACAAGGAATGTTGTCAAAGTTACAGCCTTACTCAACACGGTGTTTCAAGTTAGGTTTGCCACCCATCCAGTTTTCATCCAGACAGTCCAGGTTTCGGCTTAGGTGTGAAATGGCACCTGGACAAGCCCTGATGTCTGTTTTCTTTGATTGGCGGGGGGGGGAAGCAGAGAAGGGGCAGGGCCTCAGTTACCAGATGTTAGAAATGTGGCAACCCTCTGTTAGATGGAATGTACTGTTTCAATTAGCTATTAATAAGATGTTTTTAAAATACTGAAGTGAATCACTGACTTTAAACTGAAATTCAAAATGGAGTACATGAACTCTAACTTTGAACTCCATCTTTGAGAGGGGACTTATTTACTACACAGACTCTAGCTTAAACCAGTCAGAACCGGTTTTTCCCGCCAAGTCCAACCCTCAGTGTTCCATCACCTCAGAACTCTTCCCGCCAAAAAAAGGCTTTATAAGGTCTTGTTCAGCGCCTGCGCAGGGCTGTCCATTCCAGCGACAGTTCGTACACGGTCGGGTCTTCGCAGAGCTCCAGAGCGGAGATCGAAGAACAACATCTATCCCGTAGTGTGTTTGAGGAAGAGGAGTCCTGTCATCGTCATTCCTATATCCTGCATTTCCTGGTGTCCATCATCCCAGAGGGTCTCCTCGCCAGCGACGAGATCTATCCGTCGTCTGGACTCCCCAGTGTTCCTCCTCAAGGACTCTAAATCAGTCCAAGGGTTGTAGGTCCTGGGCATCACGCCTGTACGTGACATCTGCTGCATCAGAGCAATAGGAGAAAGGTTTCCGTGTTGGGGTATTGTTTATTGTTTTGTAGAATCCCACAGGAGGGTTTATGGGCCTGAGCTCCAAGCTCTCAGAGTCAGTCACTGATCCACTATTTTACTGATTCATGGTTTTGCTGTTTCACAGTGTTATTCTTGCATTTCTCCCCCCCCCCCTTCTCCCTAGTTTTTCTGTACCTTTTATCCCTAATACACTTACCTTTATTTGCACCATATTATCTTGTCTTTTCTTTATTTTATTATATTTTATGGGTAGCTAAATCCACCGGTGACAGACACGGAAGGGAGCCGAGTCTGCAGCTTCTGAGAAAAGGGGCTTTCCCTGTTATATCTTCCCTCTACCATCTCTCTAGTATTTCCTTTGAAGCGTTACCTTCTTCCCCTTGAGGTAACACCTCTTTCAAATGCTCCAGCTGTCTTCCTCCTCCCCCCCCCTCCATCTTTAACAAAGAGAGATGGATATCCGTAATGGTGGCCGTTGCCATGGTCCTAAGCAGGCTGAGGTGTTTGTACTCAGAACCCCAACCCACATTCAAAACACTGAGCTAGACAGTGACAGGGTGAGGTTAACACCTTGGATACCTGGGCCTGTATATGATGGAAACCACTTCAAGTCAGGGGGTGCTGCAGAACCAGCCCTGCACCCCTAATTCCAGTACCTGTGTTAACACCTTTGCTACTTGGGCCAGTTTAGTCTAGTGAAATTAACAGGGACATAGCCAAGTCCGCCCACAGAATCAGTGGCAGAGCTAGGACAGCAACCCAGGAGTCCTGGCTCCCCGGCCCTCTGCCCCAGTCCGAGACCTTCCCTAGGGCACCAGCAAGGGACAGGCCTCTTTTCAGAAGGATGAAGTAGCCCGGTTTGCATGGCTTACTTCGCTGCTGCCAGAGAGCTGGTCTCATTGCCAGCCTAAGGACGCTGGCATCACGACCCTGCCTTTCTCAGCCTCCTAGGGCTGTGAGAGAAACCCCCAATCCTTGGTGCGTTGCCAACACCTCCAGCTCCCTGCACGGCAGTCCTCCATAGCCCCAGAGAACCCGGCGTAAGGAACCAGCCTGCACTGGAAGGGACGGCAGGCCCAGGTGACTCAGTTACTCCTCACCCAAAGCTCCAAGTGGTCAGGGATGGGACTGAGGTGTCAGTAGGACAAGACCCGTACCTGGCCATGCAGCGCCCCCTCCGGGCCTGGCTTGGTTTTGTGGTGCTTGGCGTCCATGCACACGTTCAGCACAGATTCCTTCGCAGCATTGGCCACGCAGGCAGCCAAGAGCCCCAGCACGGCCCACCGCGCTGCCATCTCCCTGCGACCAGAGCAAGGGGGAAGTAGGGTGGAAGAGAAGACAAGTTAGTGCAGCTGCCGAGATGTGGCCTGGCTGCCTTCATTAGAATGGGGGCATAGCTCCGAGCGCACAAAGGGGATCCCCAGCCAAGAGCATCCATGCTGGCCTGCTACCGTGACTGGTGCTCTGCAGAGACCCAGGAGAGAGACCACAAAGCCTCCTGCTCTACGGGAGCTTTTGCCCTCAAACCAGCCCACCTAGGCAACCTGGGGCAGGCACTTCCCCAAACCCCGACCCCAGGGTGACTGCTTTGCCTTGCAAGGGGCTCTGAACAGAGCTCCCAATGGCTCGCCTCAGAGTGGGCTAGTTTCCATCCTAGCTAGGAGCTCCCCTCCACCCTACAGCCACCCATGGGTGCATTCATGCCACACCCTTTGTATTAGCCAATGATACAGAGCCAGACACTGGTTGCCTCATCTGAGCTTTATCCAGAGAGTCGGCAATGGCCACTGAGCTTGACCCTGGCCAGCCAACACCACTAACCCCACCAGCAGGCTTCCGTGCTGGAACCATAGCATGAGATGAGACCCATTGGGTTGTATTCCCCCCCTCCTTTGTTAGGTCTGTGGTCCTCCAACGGGGAGTCTGAGGAGGCTAGGTTACAGCCAGCCCTGTCTGGTTACTTCCAGTCAGCTGGGGCAGGGTGGACCGACTGGCCAGTTACACACTAGCCGAACGTTAGGCTGCCTGGATCACAGGCTGCAAGAGCAGACTCACAGCCCACCAACACTTGGTCACAGGTAGGGTTACCATATTCAAACATTTAAAA